AACCCACTCACCTCTCTGTGAGAGAAGATGAGCCGGTCTGCTTCCATAAATATTACAGCCCTAGAAACCTTATGGAGTAGTCTACTCTGTCCCTTACAGTCAATAGGAATTGTCTCCATAACAACAGGTTTGCATGTTTTGTTTGTTGTTTGTTTGAGGGGGGACAATTTGGACACAGGGTATATGGGAAGTCTGTAATATTTTCTCAATATTTTTTAAAATCCAAAACTATTCTAAAATTAAAAGGTGGTTTTAAAAAGCCATTTTCAATTTTTATATTATCTGAAGTCGATATCAAATATTTTCACTGTATAGTCATAAGAGTTCATTGAGTTGAACACATAAGAAATTATAGCCTTTGCTCTTTGTAAGCAAGGAAACAAGACAAATATGTATCGTGGAATGAGAAAGGAATGGAAATAATTAGAGGATTTACTATCTCGTATCTTAGGCCCCTCACTGGGCAGTGCCCAATTTACTTTTTGCTAAATCCAGCCGGGGTTATTATTAGAGCAAACATTTGTTAAGTGTTTCCACAGGACCAAATTCAGTGCAAGCATTTGATATGAAAGAGTTTGTTTAATCCATTCTATTGTGTTTTGTTATTTTTCTCTTAAACATTTGAGATTCAAAGAGGTGCCTTTTCCAAAATCCCACAGATGATGCTTGGTAAGGCTGGATTCAAACCCCAGTATCTTTTAGTTACCCCACTGTTTATTGCTTGCACTGTAATCCCATGGGATATTTGTTAAAGTACAGATTGCTGGGTAACAATAAACTCAGACCTTGACACACACACACAAAAAAAGTACAGATTGCTGGGCATGCCAGATGCACTGCTTCAGAATCCAAAGAGGTGGCCAAGGAAATGGGCCTCTGGTCCTACCTCCATGAAGTGATTCCAGTGCCCAGTACTCTAGTTTTTGCTTCCTCTCAGATACTCTACTAATTTGTTATAGGTTATCATTAGTAGTTATTGTTAATTAGATCGTCTTTAAATAGGAATCTATTGACCACATAGGTTGTTAGCCACAAGGTTAGTAGTTTGAAACCACCAGCCACTCTGTGGGTAAAAGACAAACTTTAAACTCTGGTAAAGAGTTACAGTCCCAGGAAATAATGGGCAGCTCTACACTGCCCTATAGGGTCCCACTGTGTTGGATTCAGCTTGATGGCAGTGAGTTTGATTTTTGGTATCCTCAACCCCAGTATTATTTTACCAATATATCTTCCAGTATATACTCCTCTTCCTTAATTTTAAAAACCTTGAGTGACCTGTTTTCTTGCATGATCAGACCAATTTCTTTTAGACCTAGCACCCATTGTACACTATTAGCATGTCAGTAGTTATGTTTTATGTAACATTAATATATCCAGCAAACACACACACACACACACACACACAGCTATTTCACTATCTGCTGAAAACATGAGCAGATAACCACTTGCTGCTCTTTTCCACTAATGCTCCTTCAAGGAAGCAGAGAAGAAAACTTAGTCAACCACCTTGAGAACAAAAATTGGCTGAATGTATTGACAGAGTACTGCAGAGTAATATAGTTTGAGAAGCAGTTTGGTTCATTGAACAGCCTCTTATGAATGAAAACTTAGCCAGGGCTAAACATGAACGCAGGTTTGGGAACCAATTCTGCCCCACCCTGTTTTGCTCTCTTAACTAGGTCCTTTCTACAGTTATTTTTACTTAAAAATTGGAGACCATTTGTTAATCCTTTAGATACTCATATAAATCAGTCATATTGCAAAAGGAACTATTTATAGCAGGCATATTTTCTTTCCTCATCAGAACTGTTAGAGAAATGACAAGTCATTTGTTAGAGAAATGGCAAGAAAGGTAAGCCTCACTCATTGGAAATCTGTGTGAAGCAAATTAGTCACTATAATAAACAGATGACTGAGCCTCGCTATGACAATAAGTCTCACTATCTCACTGCACCATGCTTCCTCATAAAAAGTGATTGTAGCTTGATCTATTCAGTGAGGAACTGCACAATAAAACTCCACCTAGATCAGGACCAAAGGTCATAGCAACAGATATTACACACTCATAGGGATTACACAGCTGCACTTCCACGCATCTTTGCTGGCAGGTTGTTTTATTCCTGAAAGCATGGGCCGGAAATGAATGCTTGATAGCACACGACCCCCGTTTCCCATGTCACCCAGAAAAGCATGACATTGAAGTGCAAGTGCTAGAAAAGAGGCTTACTGGAGCAGAGAAATGGATGATGGGAAATCCAGAAGGGGCTCGCAGGAGAAATTTCAGAACTGTACTTCTCTGCTCATACCACCTAACCCAGATTTCTGATTAGAATCATAACAATACATCTTAATACCCTAATTATGCAGCTTCTACTTATCTTGACATTCAGATTCATGGACAAAAGAAAATGTATTATATATAAACCAATTATGGGAAACAGGAGAATTTAACAAGACAGCAGTCTAATTATAAGCTTTTCTTAATTACTAAGAGCTAAACATGAGCCATCACAGTTTTAGAATTACCCTAAATCCTGAATATGAATTTTTCAGAGAAAAGAGCCGTTTCCTTTCCTTGGAAGGTGTTTTTAGGGCTCAAGGGAGCTCAACAAGAGAGAAGTTGTTCATGGAGCTAGGACATTGTCTGGCTGTGAACTCAGTTCAAGACCTTTGCTGGGGTGCAGGGGTAGTATCAGACCCTGCAGCTCAGACCCAAGCACTGCCCTGCAGACAGGAGAGGGGGCAGCGAGTGAATCAGAGAATGGCAGCGTTCTCTGTGCAAGCATGGCAGAGTTCATCAAAGCAGGCCAAGGGACTAAACCCATGTTGGTGTGTGCAAAATCTTAGCTCGGGATTACCCAGAATACAGGGTAAATGTTTGAAATGCACTTGAAAGGATAAATTAGAAGGAGTCAACATCACACGAAAAACAAATGAATGATTCGTGTGTATTACTTATAAAGAAGCCAACGTATAGAGGGCACAAGTTTTTTTGCTTATTCAAGCAGTTGAAGAATAAAAAGTTAAAGACAGAGCTACCATACGACCCAGTAATTCCACTCCTGTCTATCTACTCAAGAGATTGAAAAGCAGTGACGTAAGCAGACCATGGACATCAATGTACATTCCAGCAAAATAACCAAAATAGCCAGTAGCCAGTAGCTGGGCACCGTAGCCAAAAGGTAAACATAATTTATATGTTCATCAACAAATCAATTTACTAGCAAAAGGTGATACGTACATATAACGGAATATACTTCAGTCATCAAGAAAAATAAAGTCCTGATACATGCTACAACATGAATGAACCTGGAAAACATGACTATTGACATCGGTCAGTAACAAAAGGATAAATATTGGATGATTCCACTTTTTTGACACACGTAGAATAGATAAATTTAGAGAGGCTTGAGTTTAATAATGATTCCTAGGGATGAGAGGAGAGGGTAATCACTGTTTATGAAGCACTGAGTTTCTGTGTATAGTGTTGAACAATTTGGTAATGGGTATTTATGGTGCTTGTATAAAAATATTAATGTAATTAGTATCACCGAATTATAGATATGAAAAGTCATGAATTGGAAAATGTAGTGCAACATCTATATTTACAACCATAAATCAGTAAATGGGGAATCAGGAAGCAGAAACTGGAAGTCTCACTGCACTGTCTGCAGTCCAATGCACTAGGCCGCACTACCTTTCCATTCATGAATTCAGTGGCACAGAAAGGACTCGCCTCCCACTCTTCCCTGACCCTAATTGCCACCCACACCATGCTCGGACCTAGCCTGAACTTGATCACCATGCACTGAAATTTCTGTTTTACATTATCCATGCATTTTGGCCTTCTGAATAGATGTTGCCTTTCCTTGTTTTGTCAAACAGAAAAGACAAGCTACTTGCCTGCACGTAGAAACTTACATGGATTGGTGAGGCAGGATCGGGCTGCACACTCTAGAACACAAATCAGAAGTGTACTGTATCATCATCTCATAAGTTCAACAACACTTCAGTGAGAGGGCATGCTACTGGTAAGAGTGATAGTTGATCTTGCCTTTAGCAGGGAATACTGGCAACTGGCCATGACCAGACAGAAGAGGAGGATCCACATATCTTTGCAAAAGCCTTGGTTCAAGGTAAGAAATCCAAGAAGGGAAACCAGGACAATGAGTAGAATAGCCAACACATTTTCCTTGATATCTTCAGTTCTGTGCAAAACAAAAGAAAGAGTAAACAAAGGTAAGTGTCTTTCTGTTTACACATGTACTGCTCACCTGCTTCTGCAAACAACACAAAGCAATCCCCTCCAGCAAGGCTTTAAATTCACTACAAGATTTTAAGGGTTATTTAGTTGGTTACCCTGTGTTATAAAAACAAAATCCATATTCTAGCGCCAGCTTTCTGTTATTGAAACAAATGAAATATAATCCCATTGGATTTCCTTGGCCACTAAACTGAGTTTTGGAAAGGCACTTAACGCTTTCATTCATACCAATGAGGTGTGCTACCGATAGAAGAGCTTCGTGGGCTCCTGAAATGGAAAGGAAATGGTGCGATAACATCTGGTTAAAGCAAGTAATCATTTCCAGACTCCATTTCTATTGCCAGAATTGGCTGCCCACTTTGAGAAGATGGAGAGCTACTGCCAGAGTAAGGAGAGGTCCCAGAGGCCTGACCAGGACTGGTCATGAACTTCGACCCGACTGTTCATTCCCATTGGGAATTTTTACCTGTAAGGCTCGGCAGGGCAGCTGCAGGGTGGAGAGGGAGCTCATCCAGAGGTGGGGGCTCCTCAGGGGATATGCTGAGGAATAGGGGCAAGAGTGTTTTAAGAGACTGTGAAGAAAGGGGCAGTAGGACTAGATTGTGGAGCCTGAGTAGGATGATGAGGGAAGGGGCATTCAAGGAGAGGAGACGTATGGGTTAAGGGTTTGGGGACATCTGATGGTGTTAGAAGGGAAAACATGGTGTCATGAGTATAAACTGAGTTTGAGAGCTCTATTGAATGACAAGCATGGAAGGCATGGCTGGAATGGAGTCATGAGGGACAGACAATAAGGGCAAGGAAAGAAGAGCCCAGGCTGTAGGTGAGTAATTCACAAAAATTATGAGCATACATCTCTGGTTCGAGCCCACCCAGGGACAGAAATGCTCATTTTAAAAAATGTAAACTTTTGGATTTGTGTCTGCACTGCAGACCAGACCCCCTCATGTAAAGACAATGAGGAGCTTACATCTCACATCACCAATCTTTGCTCATGTACATCTTTTTCCCCACCACGAAATTGTAATATTCTTTAGACGGAGTAGGCACTCTTGAATATGTCTAGCACCATAGACACTTCAAAACATTTTTTAAATGGATGAATATATGAGTAAATAAAGAGTCTAGAACAAGAACTCAAATCTAACTTACCCCGATGAAAGGCTCACTGAAGATTGGGTGCTGTACCTAAGTGTGGTGAAGAAAGTGGGTGGTGCCCACCTATCAGAAAGAATGCCATCTGGGGTCTTAAAAGCTTGTCTTCAACCAAGGACCCCTCTAAGTGATGTGCCACCCAAGCTGTGAGAGTTAGGTTTATTGGGGACCCCGCCTAACACACAAGCCCACATGAAAGAAGCACACCAGCATGTGTGCTCCAAGGATTGTAAATAATAAAAATCCAAGCTCTAAGAAGATCATTGTATTAGGGCTTAAATTCTGAGCACTCAGTTTGCAGAAGGTCATGAGTGACGGTGAAAACCCACAAGCATTTGCAGAGGCCCCACAAGGAATTCCCTCCATCTGTTGACCAGGGACCTGAAGCAGAGCCCTTGCCCTCAGACTGGTTGCATTAGAAAGTGAGTTAATACAGATAGAGTTAAGTTAGATTGTAAAAGCTTATTATTTGTTCTCCCTTTGACCCATTTTTATTTTGTCATTGTTTATATTACCTTCTGCTTTCTTTTGTACTGAGGTTTTTCTTTGTTTTATTTTGTTATTATTGTTGTTATTTTTTGTATGATTTTCTTCATATGAAATCCTGAATAGGTATATCTATAGAGATAGTATCTAGAATAAATAGTTTCTTCAGGTTATAACAGAATAGATTGGTAGGGGGGATGGGAAGCTAATAACAATAAGTACAAAATGAAGACAATTTTCTAAAATTATGGTGATGCTCACACAACTATTTTAATATATCCAAACCATTGAATGATGTGGGATGTGAATTATGTGTCAAAAAAACTCTTGTAACTAAAAACAATTTTAAAGAGCTAATGCTAATACCCAAAGAGAAGAAAGAGCTACAATGAAGGAGGCAACTTTGAGTTAGCAAACAAGCATGTGAATGATGTGACCGTGTTGCTGTTGGTGCCGTGGCATCTATTTCAAGTTAAAGAGATCCCGGGCGGCAAAGCAGGACTGCTGGTGCCAGCTTTCATAGATGGGATATTGACAGGAGGCGATCACCAGGTTTTCCTCCTGTGAATTCATTCCATGAATTTGAACTGCAGCTGGTCAGCCAGCAGCCAAGTGCTTAACCAGGGAACCACCCAGGCTCTTTGAGTTATGTGGATAGGAAACTCTAGGTGAACATCAAGGAGACGGGAAGAACGTTACACAGCTGTGCTGGACTGTAACTGACATATTAACAATAACAAAGAACAAAAAAGAAAGATAACAGAGATGTGAAGTATTTGGATAAAATGATACTCAAGACCTGGAGAACCAAGATATAGTTGGTGGAAAGGGAGACATATTCTTTTTTTTTTTAATCATCTTATTAGGGGCTCATACAACTCTTATCACAATCCATACATACATCAATTATGTCAAGCATATTTGTATATTCATTGCCCTCATCACTCTCAAAACATTTCCTCTCCACCTAAGCACCTGGCATAAGCTCCTCATTTTCCCCTCCCTTCCCGCTCCCCTCTCCCTCATGAACCCTTGATAATTTATAAATTATTATTTTGTCATAGCTTGCACTGTCCAAGGTCTCCCTTCACCCACTTTTCTGTTGTCTGTCCCCCAGGGAGGAGGTTATATGCAGATCCTTGTAATCGGTTCCCCCTTTCCAACCCACTCTCCCTCCACCCTCCCAGTATTGCCACTGGTCCTGAAGGGATCATCTGCCCTGGATTCCCTGTGTTTCCAGTTCCTATCTGTACCAGTGTATATCCTCTAGTCTAGCTAGATTTGTAAGGTAGAATTGGGATCATGATAGTGGGGGAGGAGGAAGCATTTAGGAACTAGAGGAAAGTTATATGTTTCATCATTTCTACCCTGCACCCTGACTAGCTCGTCTTCTCTCCGAGACCCTTCTGTAAGGGGATGTCCAGTGGCTTAAAAATGGGCTTTGGGTCTCCACTCCGCACTCCCCCCCCATTCACTATGATATAATTTTTTTGTTCTGATGCTACCTGATCTTATCTTCCACTATGTACTCTTTAAAAAAGCTTTTATTCATTCACATCACTAAAATTTGTGGTAGGCGCGTCATTGTACTCATAACATTCTGGTGTCTATTTTTAATATTTAAAGGCCTAGGAAAGCAAATTAAAATTTCAATGAGAAATATAATGCCTTTATATTTTGGGAAAATTCCCTAAAGTAGAATTGTTCCCTAGATTGTCTGTCACAGGATTTCATCCATCTATGCCCTATCAAAACCCACTGGGGTCATCATATACTAATATTTAAATATTGGACTAAAATGTTTATTCAATAGGTTGGAGCATCATGACCAAGGCTATATTACAGAAAAATGTATATGTCAGAGGTTCACAAGATGTACTGGAGGGGATGGACACCAGAGAGAGGACACACCACAATCCAGAGGCAAGGCACTGGGGCACCTAGGAAGTGACTTGACTGTAAACAGAAGCTGACTTTCAGATACAGAGAGAGCAGAAAGGGTCTGATTGAACAGGTTGTATACAACAACAGGTTAAAGAATCAGGATGATTCTAAGATTTCAATCTGGGGATCAGGGAGGAGGAATATGGCAGAATCAAAGGCAGATATTGGAAAGGGCAACTGATTTGCAAAAGAAGTTAATGGAGCGATTCATTCATTCACCCAAAGTGTTCAGCACTGCAGTAGAGCTCAGGACACATCAATAAGCAATACGTATCCCCCTACTTCTGGGGTTTCCTTTCTAGTGAGTGATGATATAAAAATAATAAACACAGAAAGTCAGTATGCTATACCGTATTTCAACATGATGTCTGCAAGAGAAAAAAGAACAGAGCAGCGGGGAAATGGGAGTGGGTGATGTAGAAGTTGTTGTGATTTTAAGCAGGAAGATTGCAGCTGCCTTACTGGGAAATAAAAGCAGCTTTGTGGTGTAGGGTGTTACTCCCTGGACTCAATGGTTAAGCTTCTAGCTGGAAGCTAGAATGGTTGGCTTCTAGCTGGAGAGCTGGCAGTTCAGATTCATTGAATTAATTCACAGGAGAAAAATGTCAAGGTGAGCCATTGGGAAAAACCAACTGCTCCGAATTAAGTGAGGATCTACTCCCAGCAAGATTTACAGTCTATGAGACCCACAGGGGCAGTTCTACTCTGTCCTATATGGTCACTATGAGGCAGCATTGACTTAATGGCAGTGAGTTTATTGAAAGGTACACTGAGCAGAGGCTTGAATGGTGTGTGGGGATTGGGGTGTTGTTAGTTGTGCAGGTTAGAGGGAGAGCATTCCAGGAAGAAGGAACCCTCAGGACAAAGGATTTCTGGCAGATGAAGGCCAGACAGAAAGGCCAGCATGGTGGGGAGAGGAGTCATGGGCCACAGCAGGAGAAGAGATGAGAGAGGGAAGGCGTGGCTGGATCTTGGAGGCCTCTGAGGCATCATGTGATGACTGGCATTGATGAGACATGAATGAGGAGCTGTTGCAGGGTTGTCAGCAAACTAGTGCTATTCCAAAAGCACGACTCTGTGTGCTAAGAATCGTCCACAGGGAGAAGGAGCGGCACGTGTTAACGTGCTATTGCAGTAGCCCAGATGAGAAATGACAGCAACTCAGACCAGAATGGTACCATTTAAGGGCAGAAATATAGGAGAGATACATTGAATGTCCTATGTGATTGAATGTAGGGTGTGAAACTAGGAAGATTCTAGGGTGAGGCCAAGAATTTTAGCTTGAGAAACGGAAAGTTTCTAGTGGCAGAATGAAGGCTGGCAGATGGCACGGCCAAGACAAATCAATCCTAAGGGAGCTAAGAGTAGGAGTTGAAAGAGCTGTCCTGCACTGAAAAAGGGAAGGACGTACTTTGCTCTTTGGGGTGTCGTGCAGCCTGTGCCTGCATGCTTCCATATTCTGATCCGCATACTGAGTTGTACCTGCTGCGTCGTGAATAAGTCACGTAAATCTAACTATGGCAGTTCTATGTGGCCATGGCAACAAAGGACAGAACTCAGTGGAAAAACAGAGAGCCTTGAGAAAAACAGCTGGTGTTAGAATTGGTAAAATGGTTATAGGTTGTGGGTCTCCTCGCCACCTCATGGGATTCCAGCGTTGCTCTAAATCTGGTAATTAACTCCTGAGTTAGATAGGTTCCCATAATTTTACAATGCTCTTCTTCAGAGATTGGTACCTTGTAGGAAGACATTCAAAGTACAGGGCATAAAATCTCGCCATCCTCACTTCTGAGGAGCATGCTGGCTAGACTTTTTCCAAAACAGATTTAGTCATTCTTCTGGCAGTCCAAGGTATATTCAATATTTTTTGCCAACTCCATAACTCAAATGCATCATTTCTTCTTCAGTCCTCCTTATTCTTACCCAGCTTCGGCATGCATGTGGGTAATTGAAACACCAGGGCTTGGGTCAGGCACACTGTAGTGACATCTTTGCTTTTGAATACTTTAAAGAGGACTTTTGAAGCAGATTTGCCCGATGCAGTATATCACATTACAATTCTATCGTGTTATGGACTAGACATTGGAAATGAACTTCTTATGCTCGGGAATCGGTACATTTTTAAAGCTTTCTGAAAATTCTGATGAACAGTGTTATTTGAATATTACATTCCCTTTGCAATGTTCCAAAACTGCTTGGTTTTTCTAGGTCATTATTTTTTTTACTTCGTCTTCTTTCTTCCTTGCTGTCAGGTTCATGGATCCCTGTTTCACTCTGTGATTGACTGCTTCCAGGAAAATCAGACCACGATGTTTGATAATAGAAGTCCTTGGGTGGTGTCAACCGTTAAGTGCTTGACTACGAACTGAAAAGTTGGGCAGTTTGAACAGTGTTGAGGGGTCACATCCTTAAAACTCTTCTGGTGACATTCTATTTTGACATGTGTGACTCACCATGAGTTAGGGCTGACTCCATGGCAACTGGATGTTTGATTTTGTATAAGCTTTTATTAATTAGCCTTTTCATTGATAAGTTTTTAAAAGCTAAGCTAATACAGGCTCCAACTGAAGGCCTATTTCTCTTATAAATTAAGTGCTTAAATTTTAGCTCTTGAATTTGACAAGGTCTACCTTACCTACTCTAATTTTATTTTCTTTAGCTACTTTCTGGGTTCTAGGCCACATTCTAGTTCATTATAATAATAGGAAATAATATTTAATGGTTTCTTCTTATATGCTACATTGGTTTAATTCTTATACACATTCTTTTTTTCTCAATCATAAATTATCCTATATTTTTATATCACTTATATGTTTTAAAATAATGGCAAATGTCAATAACAATAAGGAGTGAATTTTTTTATTTAAGCCTATTTTTTATTAAAAGATTATTTTATTGGGGGCTCTTACAATTCTTATTACAATCCATACATCAATTGTATCAGGCAGATTTGTACATATGTTGCCATCATTCTTTTCTAGACATTTACTTGCGATTGAGCCCTTGGTATCAGCTCCTCTTTTTTTCCCTTCCTCGTATACACATTTTGTTAAGAGAGGTAGGATTACTTGACAGAAAACAAAAACAAAACACAAACAACAAAGCACAGAGAAGCTTCCTAGCCATCTTGAGATCACAGCAGCAGTTGAAATGGGCACTGGGTTTAAATCCAAAAGTCTGACTCCAGACCTCCTAGACGAGGGATCAATTGCTATATGTCTACCCTGGACACAAACTTGCATAAAAGGAGATTAAACTTGTAAACTTAAAAACTTGCAGTAATTTCTTCATCATCTTTGCTTAGACCTTCATTTTATTTTCAATTATGTTTTTTCACTGCTAATGACATTTGAAAACTTAGAAAACTTTTTATTTTAATATGAGAGAGTTACATATGCTAATCCAACTTTCAATAATTATTTCTAATGAATAAAATTTAAATTTGGGGGGGAAAGTCTCAAAGAATAACATCTTCCTTGGATTATTAGTTAAACATTAAATGTACCTCTTAAGTATATGCCTTTGACTGACATAGGATTGTTATAAGAACCATTATAACACCATTCTTTGACCTACAGGCCCTGAAATTTGTGGCTGCAATTTTGCATGGACATAATTTTCTAAAAGGAACTCTGTGGCGCAGTGGTTAAGTGGCTGCTTGCAAACTAAATGGTTGGCAGGTCAAACCCACCAGTTTCTCAGCAGGAAAAATACATGGTAGTCTGCTTCTGTAAAGATTACAGTCTTGGGAATTCTATTGAGCAATTCCACAATGTCCAATAGGACAACTATGAGTGTGAATTAACTGAACCAGCAATGGATTATCATTTTAACATATGTAATCATGCCATTTAAGGCATTATTATACCAAATAGTCATTGGGGGAGCAAACAGCAGCCTTTCATTGCCCATTGACTGTGAACAGTAAGCATCTGTTGATGATAGGGTTGGTAACTTCTTGACTTTTCAAACCAAGATCCCAGTCAAAATTGCTCAGCCTTCAAAGATCATAATATTGTTCTTTGCAGCAAGACTAGAAATAAGAAGTTCCACCTTCCTAGCCCACCTTAACCAACCTTAACCACCCTCCAACCCAGTAACCACCTCCCCAACTCTATGACCTTTTATCTTGAGAAAAGAGATGGGAAAGGGGGGGAAAGGTGAAAAGCCTTTCTTAACATTACAAACCAGTGTACATTAGACATGAGTAAGAAATCAGAATTCACATTGGCTGGGAAGAACTAGGAATTGGTCCATTTCATGGTTAACCCTCTGGCTGTGCGTTTACTAATCTAGCCAAACCCTGTGGGGCAGTCTCGAGTTTTCCTACAAAAATATGTCATCAGTGTGGTAAATTGAAAGTAGATCAAAGCACAATACTGTCCCCAAAACTACCTTAATCTCAATCCTGTTGCCTAATTCTAATTATCTCCTATTTTAAGTTTTCAGCATCTTATTGATTTGTGTTTGCAGTAGAAGAAATCTATTCTTTGAAAACATCCCATGGAAACTCAGCAAGTAGAAATGCTTTTTTAAAAAACATACATATGTGTATTCCCCTGTCCTCACTGTCTTTCAGGTGTACATTTGCATGCTCAGCGGCTTACCGATCCAGTAATGCCAACAAGGTAAGTCGATCATACCAGACTTTAATCCACTTGCCAGGGAAAACAATAAGCTTGTAAAACTGATCTCTGTTAAATTTTCCTTGGGTCGAGGAGCATGAAGAGTCCTCCAGGTCTTGACTCAGATGCTTTTAAATACAAAAAGAGAGAGAGAGAGGGGATTTCATGTTGACATGTTATTGACATAAATGTACATTGTAACTCAAAAATACCCAAACCAGATGTTCAAACTTAGAAATGCAGACCCATGTATTTCATAATACATGGATAACCTGAAAAAAGAAACATGTTTTTAAGAGATTTTTAATAGGTTTGACATATAATTCAATTCAAGATATCATACAATTCAATAGTTCAATCATATTAAGAAGAGTTGTGCAATCAACACCACAATCAATTTTAGAACATTTTCTTCTTTCCTGTATTGTTGTTATTTGCCCATTTCCCTTCAACCTCTCCTGCTATGTCCCTAGGAAATGAACAATTTAGTTATGGTCTTTATAGACTTACCTATCCTGGATTTCATATACATAAAAACACACAAAGAAAAACAATAATAATTAACAAATATAACAGAAAAATCTCAATAAAAAAAGCAGAAAATATTTATAACTGGAAAATTTTAAATGAGTCAAAAGGGAAATCAAATGATAAGGTGTTACATTTTAACCTAACTACAGCTACAATAATCCACTTTATACTGCACTTGTCTGAAAGCAAGGCTATTCACAACCCTAGTAATCCCTAAAGGGTATCTTCATATGGAGCCCCTGCAAATGAATTTTGAGCAAGCCAGGTGTTTAGAATTTAAGCTCTAATACCACTCCCAACTCCAATCTTGGATTTTATTTACAATCCTTGAATCACACAGGCTGGTGTGATTCTGTGTGGACTTAGCTGACACATCACTTAGTGGTGCTTGTTTTAAGACTCTAGCACAGCAGTTCTCAACCTGTGGGTCGCAGCCCCTTTGGGGGGCGAACGACCCTTTCACAGGGGTTGCCTGATTCATAACAGCAGGAAAATTACAGTGATGAGTAGCAACAAAAATAACTATGGTTGGTGGATCACCACAACATGAGGATAACAGCATTAGGAAGGTTGAGAACCACTGCTCTAACATTATTCTTTCTGGTAGATGGGCACCACCTGATTTCTTCACCACACTTTGCTATAGTCCCCTTATCTTCGGTGACAGATATGAGAGCAAATATCAAGTGGGCCATATCGTAAGAACTTATTGTTCTTAGATTATGGCTATGATTAAGTGTGAGCTCAAAATTCATTCATATACCTATAATTTCTATATAACCACAGGTCACTTTAGGGACATGATTATTATTTGATTGAAGAATATTATAAATCATCTCCCTGGGGCATATGATAATTCTATGATATTATCATTAATTTATCCATTGATCTAGAGCTTAAACCACTGTTGAGAAAAGGGAATTATACATGTGTAGGACAGCATTTTAGACGTCAATATATGGATTGTTGACCTGTACAAATTAAAAACTTAAGTGACTAGACACTACCCAAACTGTCCTTAACACCTTTTACATTGCCACAGTAATCAAAATATCTTGATACTGGTAAAATGATAGATTTATAGACCTATGCAATACAATAAAAATAATAGAAATAATTGCATTCTCCTGCAAGCAACTGATTTTTGACAAAGGATCAAAAAACATTAAATGGGAAAGGGCTAATCTTTTCAAAAAATGGGACTGGAAAAATTGTATCTTGGTCTCAGAACACCGAAACAGGACTCATAGCTTATCCATGAAAATAACACACTCAAGGTAGAGACCTAAATATAAATCCCAGAGCTACAAGGACCATAATGAGAAAATCGGGACAAACTTAAGGGCCTTATGACAGGACATCAACAGACTACCAACTGTAATAAAGGAAGCACACGCATAGTGCAAGACAAAATCGGTGAGTGGGTCCTGCTAAAAACAAAACACTTATGCACATTAACAACTTCATCAAAAGAGTAAAATGAAAGTTCACAGTTTTGACAAACAAAAATTTAGGTGAAGTATGATTTATTCCTGTAAAATGCAAATTTTGTACTTTTATACTTTGGTTTAAAATTCCTTTACACCACAAGGTTGCACAGATATTTGTTTATCATCTTTCTTAAGGGTGTATAGTTTTATCTTTCACATCTAAATTATGAAGCTCACGAGAAGTTTTTTATATAATGGGAGATTGATTATTGCCCTAGTTTCATTTACTAAGTAGTCTTTCTGTCCTTAGTTGTTTTCCAATTTACCGTTGACTATAATTGTGGATGAGCTAGACTTTACATTTCTTTTTGTTATGTTTGCCCTCCTATTTCTTCAAGGAGCCTAGTAGCACGGCAGTGAAAACACCCATCCACCAAAAGGTCCATAGTTCTAACCCATTTCTTTGGTCATTTCCTTATGAAACACTAATGAATTGTTTGTTAGCCCTCTCACTCTCTTTCATATGTCCTAACCTTCCTTTCATGCTTTCCAGCACTTTGTCTCTCTGTTCTATCTAAATTATCTCTTTAGACTGAATTTCCAACCCACCAAATATCTATTCCTATGTACCAACTTTCCTTTTATGTAATCCAAGATTTTATTTTTATGAATTTGTTAATTTTCAGAAGTTCTACCTGGCGGCTTTCAGATCTGCTTAGTCATTATGTGATCTCTTGCATATAATTTATATTTTTATATTATCTTTTATTTCTTTATACATATTAAACAGAATTTAGGGAGGCTCTAATTTGCTTAAGTTGACAAACAAGAACAAAAAAAAGCAAAAGAAAGAAGAGATCAAAGTAGCATACAATAAAAGCTGTGGTATGATGATATCTTATAAAAGTATCAAATATTTATCTTTGGCTTATAAATGACAGAAGTGAATATGTGGACAGAATACTTAATATTTTCCCAATTAAGCAAAATTCACTTGTGTCGAGACACTTGGCATGAGGAGTGTAGCAGACTTGCTTTGATAGTAGACTATTGAGGAACGTTCTAATAAAGGAGATGTTTATCATTTCCTAGAGGCTAATGCATTGATCCCATTGACACAACAGAGAACTGGACAGAATATGAAATATTGATGCAAAAGGCATTTCAAGGGAAAGTTGATCCACAAAAGGAAAACTAAAGGACTTATGCCCAGATAATTACAGGAAAGTTCACAATGAGTGTTGCTTGTATCTGGAATTCTACTTAAGTATAGAATAGAACTTAGTGGACTGACCTAGTGTCATGCCAGCAGAAATATCATCTTTTAATAATGATTAATCATCTTTGGCATTAGTGATCGGTAGGTAAATTTGAGTAATAACCATACTACCTGGTCTTCTTTATAGGCATATCAATATCATCCTATCCCTAACAGCATTGTACATCTGGGTAGTTGGTGGCACGTTCTTTTTTATGAATAATGTGACACCATTCTGCTGCAATTTTTCATTCCCAGCATATACCATATGATTGCTCAATTCAAAATGGATAATGCCAGTCCATTTCATCTCACTAAAGACTAGTATATAAATATTTATGCATTGCACTGCATATCTGAACATTTCCAATTTTCTTAGATACATACTGTGAACATCCCAAGTTCTGATTAGTAATTGTTAGCATCTGTGTCTTCTCATTCTGAGCCATGACACATAAACAAATGAATGTCACAAAATCTTTACCCCATCCACATCATTAAGGTTGACCGTACTTTGAGAAGACCCCTCTTCCCCAGTCATGTTTTGAGTGTCTTCTAGCCTGAGGGCTCCTCCTCTAGGACTACATCAGACGATGCTCCACTGCTATTCCCAAGGTTTTCACTACTCAGTTTCTTGAGAAATAAACTACCATGTCCTTCTTTCTATCTGTCTGAGCCTGGAAACTCCACTGAAGCCTGTCTACCGTAAGTGGCCCTGCTGGCGTTTGAAATACCAGTGCAATGGATTCCAGCATCACAGCAACGTGATTCTAAAATCCACAGATGAATAGTGAAATAATACTGAAATACTGAAAATACTGAAAAAGTGGATGCACGGGACAAAATGACAAAGTGACTTTTCTGTCCGATTCATTAATTAAGCCCTGTCAACTAACTACCATGTTACATTTCTCACTAAGTCAGAATATCAGGCCTGCAATCATTTTATACACTACTATGAGAATGAAATTAAGAAAATCAGGAGAGCAGGGGGACAGGCTTAAGAACACATGATTATTGCATGTGCTCATATTCTCATATTATTCTGTATTTCCAGCATCATACACAAGACTCATTTAATAAATCTGAATGAATAAGAACCAAAAATTATAGTCAGCATATTTGTTTAAGAAGGAAGGGGAGTATATATCAGAAACATTTATTTAAAAGTTAAAGGCATTTTTGGTGAAATTAAAGAATTTAAGAATGTAAAGTGGGGGGGCAGAATGAATGTAAAGGATTTTGCCAGATACTGTTGTTTAAAATAATGTCACTTTCAAACATCCCAGATGACTAAAAATAACTGCTACCAATTACTAAGTAGATAAGTATGTTGTGTATTATCTCTACTCTTCAAATCTTCCAACTAGGTACTATTATCACCATTTAAAATATGAAAAACAAAGGCTCTCGATATGTGGTCACTAGTTTAAGGTCTTGTATTAGAAAGCATGTTTTGCCTCCTGAAACCTGGATTCTTTCTACATCTCACTTAAGGGAACCCAGATGAAGTCACACCTCAGGCAGGACCCATTGATCAGGTGACAGCTGCCTTCACTGAAAAGCAATTAGATTTCAGAAGTCAATATATATGAACTAAGTTATGAAAGAACAAATTAAAATCACAAAATTGGGAAAGAAACCATCAGCTGATGAACACTGGAAAAATTAATTATGATGGATAATAATGGACCCCAAATAACATGGTCTTTAAAATAATTTAAAACTGTGACATAGGACTTTGAGTAATAACTGTACCTAATAAAAGCTAAAATATCTATAACAGCTGTTGTATAAAGGAGAGTAAACGATAAGCTCTATGGAATCTCCCTAAAGTCAGGTATATCATGCATGTTATTGCACAAGGAGACAGACCATGTTCCTTTTTGAGGAGTCTAGAAACTTGTTT